TATATTTGTTTTAAGAACATCAAATTTCCGCGGGGTAACTATCAGCCGATAGTTTATCGACAGAAACACTCTATTGTTTAAATATCCAACGCGCGCTCGTGGAATAATTGTTAATTATACCTCATAGTCTATGTGAAATTCGTCAATGAAGCCACAATCAATGAACATCCTAAGTGAGGCTTGAAGCATCTGATCAGGCTCCAGCGAAAAGTCATCAAACTGAAAACTGTCCACCTTGAATTCCTCAGCTTTAGACACTGGTGTGTTCTGCAACCGGCAGGAGAAAGAAAAGCCAGGAGAAAGAAAAGCTCGTTACTCAGCTAACACACGTAAAATCTGAAAATAACCTGCCGTGTCTGAACAAAAGAAAAAGGGATTTGATCACAATTTAATCTTTACTGACAACTTTTTTAGAAGAGAAGTATGCTCTAGAAACTGCGCCGTTGACAAGACAATGAAAAAATTTATGATTTGCCGCGTTTTGAGATTCTGATGTGCTATAAATTCGGCCATGGACGCCACCATTTCGAAAACAATTCTGTAACCTGGCCATATACACTCGAATGGTGGGGAAACTCCACGTGCGACAGCTACTGCTCTTGGTTATCGCAAGAAAATCATTATTGGAGTCAAGACTGCCTTTTTGAGTAGCGCCAAAACAGATAGCCAGGAGGTGGAAAATAGGAGAGAAACTTTGTAACGACGAAAAAAACGGTGGGTCCAAAACGCACGTCACTCGTGATGTAAGAAAATTAATTATTTGAAAGTGTTCTTGCCTTCAATCTCTCAATTTCACCTCTCTTCGCAGCAGCATGGTAAGAAAGAACCTGGGTAAAGAGATACATCGGAAATATAAGTTAAAAAACAATGCAGGCTAAATTTTACAAACGCTTTTAAGCAATATCAATTGACGTTTCAGTATCAATACAATCACAGTAAGGATGAAACCTACTTGACCTTTTAATCGAAAAATCACTGAAACCAAAGAAATGTTGCATTGGAGCAGTTTTCGTCTGGGTGTCCAAAAGTAATCTGTGGTTACTTTGGTTTTGTTTAACTTCGCTCCGTGATTGGTCCAGAAAAATAGTCCCAGCTTCTTAACTACTCAGATTCAAAACTCAAACCAGTCGTGATTTGGTCACACGAGTATTCCCACGTTTCACCCAGTTTACCTGTTTTTTACTTTGAGTTCTCATTGGCTAACGATGATTTTGACCTTCCCTCCAATTGGTTGTTGCGATTAGTTTAGTTCGGTTTATCGAAACTCAATTGAAAAACGGCTCTAACCGAAGCGTGCTTTGGGCGTTAAGATATTAACGAGGCGTGATGATATCGAGAGTGCATGGTGAAAAAAGGAGGTTTGGGTCAAGCTGATAAACGCCCCAAACCTAGCTTCCTCTTTTAGCTTACTGGAGGCGTACAACAGGCTCCTGATCTAGATGTTAATTCTCTTTCCTATCTACCTCATGTTTCTCGCAGTTTAAGCCCTTGGAAGCTACTGTTGAATCAAACAAATTCTAGTCGGTTTTTTTCCTTCCTTCTCGTTACCTTTCTGATTCAGACTGAATTATTATTTTAAGGAGACATTCCTTTTTGCTTACTCTTGAAAATGAGGGGCTTATATAAGTAAAATTTGAGAGGCTTACAATAAATATCCAATACATTATTACATTTTTCTCTTCCTCAACAAAGTTTTTGTATGTCTGTAGCATCCAAGGTAGAAAAACTTTCATGGTTAACACTTACGACAATGACTGGATATGCATTAGTACTAATGAAAAGTGCAATTTTGAATTGAGTATCGGAAGTAATCTGAGATTGCATTTCTTTTGCTTTACTTCTATCTGTGATTGGTCCAGAAAAATCGTGCAACTCTATCAACCAATCAGATGCAAAAATAAAACCAATCACGATTTGGTTGCACGCGTTTTCCTGCGCTTTGGGTAATTGTTTTTTTTTTTTTTTAGTTCTCACTGGCTCTTCAAAGTATTTTTTTTTCTTCTGATTGGCCGTTGTGATTACTTTGGTTTTGTTTTTACCATATTCAATCAAAAGCGCTCTCTTTTTCTAAATTAACTTGAGTAGTAATCTGCAGTGACGAACCTTACTATCGAACTGATATTGTTACCTACCTCAATTGCTACTTGCTGCTTTGCTTTTGCCTTTGCCATTTGGTCATAAATCATGGTGTTGTGAATCCCAAGTCCACAAAAAATGGCGAATGCCTGACAAGATGAAAATTGGACTGTGAATCAGACTTTGATATACAAACTAACTTTTGCTACAGCCTGACTGTTCAATAATAATCTGGTCAAATGAAAATTATATTTTTAATGAATGCTGTCCTACCTCAAATAAGGTTTCATCGCTCTCATCAAATGGTTTGTTGTTCAGTTTGCTGATTAACTGAGCAACGCCTGAAAATAAAAAAGACTTGAATGAGAACTAATAGGGTCACCGTAGATAGCATGTCGTGAAATTACATCGTATTAATAATTTATCAACCGGGTGCTTTGAAACTAAATCCACAGTGATCACAGCAGCTAATAAAATAAAACATTTAATTGCCAGGAGCCATTTGAGGACCCAAAGGGAAGATATGCTGTAGTGACCAAGACAGAATTTCTCCTAACAATAACAGTGCAATAACCGCCGCCTGGTAAGTTCAAGTGGTAGGGTGCCGGCCGGACTGTTGTGCGGGAGGTCGAGGGTTCGAGCCCCAGACGGACCAACACTAAAGGTCTTAAAATAACTGAGGAGAATGTGCTACCTTTCTATTATATCGAGAAATGGATAGACATTCCAGTCTTCTTGGATGAGGACGAAAAACCGTAGGCCCTGTCTCCTGCATCTTCTCTGTACTAACATCCCACTCAAATTCTAAGATAACGTTACTGAAAAATTTTATTAAAGAAAATACCTCGATAGAGCATTTTAAGATCAGTAGGACGTTTTAAGTACAATTTTAGTATTTATGAATCTTTTATTAGGTATTTTTATATTTAGTGGGATTTGTTAGGGGCCATTATGTAAACTACCGGGTAACCGGTAATAATGTATTTTACCCTCGGTAAAGAAAGTGTTTGTTTGTTACTCGTTAGCAGGGGACGTTAAAGAACCTACATACTTATCGCAAAGAGTACGGAACGTAGCTCCCGGAATTGCAGTCCGGCCTGCCTACTGAAATTGGGGGCATCTGTTAAATGAGTCTTCACAAAAAAATTGTAAACTGCTGTAAGCAGTCTGTTAAGTCCCCCGCAAAACATTGTAATGCGCATTTGATCATATCCCAATGTTAATTTGCGCAATATAAATCAAGGCTGTGGTCGAGCAGCGCCCAGTGGCCCCTGGCACCTTACTTTTGCTCTTGGACGACTCAGGAGTTTTAGTTTTTTCATAGAAAGCATATGCTGGGCACCCTGGATTTCACAGTTTCAAAGCACTAGGTTCCATTCAATTTTTCCTTAGAGCACAGCCTTGTAAATGTTAAATTATTACGCAAAAGCAAGCAAGGAACCAGTGTCAAATTCTCTGAACTATAACATCTTGAGAACTGCATTGCAGACAGTAAAGAGGATTGCTATGAGATCAGTTTTGTGAGTGAAAAGGTGATGGGTTACAACCATTCGGCTGAGACCAAACAAAGCAAAGTTTAACTACAAAACCAAAGCAAACCATAGTCACTTCCAAAGATTGGCCCACAGCTACATTGTATCCATAGCTTTAACGACGGGCTATTTACGCTAAAAAACGTCAGCTTTGAAACT